AACCGGCGCCGGCGCGCCGCGCGTCCGCGCGCGCGTCGCGCGTCCAGGCGCGCGCGTCTCGCGTGCTCGACTTCTGGGGAGAGCAGTTCCGCCGGAGCCAGCTCCACTACTCGCCGCGGCGGAGCCGGCCCCAGGAGCACGACCGCCCGAGCGACGCGTCCGCCGGCCGCTGGTCCTTCGGCGAGGGCCCGTCCATGTGGGCGCGGCCGTCGGAGGCGCGGCACCCGGAGCTCTCGCACGGCGCGGGCTGGAAGGCCAAGGAGCAGGCCGCGCGCGACAAGTCGCCCTTCGCGGCGAATGCGCCGAGCTGGAGGCTCCAGGCCGTCATCGTCAAGTCCAACGACGACCTGCGCCAGGAGGTGTTTGTGGTCCAGCTCATCGCGCACTACGCGCGAGCGTTCCGGTCCGCGAAATTGGGGCTCTTCCTCCGGCCCTACCGCATCGTCGCCGTGTCGTCGACGACGGGCCTCATCGAGCTCGTCAAGGAGTCGACGTCCCTGGACCGGCTCTACGCGTCGTCCGGCGGCGGGCTGAAAGCGCACTTCGAATCGACGTTCGGGCCGCCCGGGTCGCCGGAGCTATCGGCGGCCGTCGGCCGCTTCGCGGAGTCGCTCGCGGCGGCGTCGTTCGTCTGCTACGTGCTCGCCATCAAGGACCGGCACAACGGCAACATTTTATTGGATGCCCAGGGCCGCATCGTCCACATCGACTTTGGGTTCGTTTTGGGCCACGCGACGGGCGGCGCGTTCTCGTTGGAGCGCGCGCCCTTCAAGCTCACGGGCGACTTCCTCGACGTGCTCGGCGACGACGGGCTGGAGCGCTTCGCGTCGGCGCTGGGCGACGCCTTCGTGGCCGCGGCCGCGTCCGTCGACGAGGTCACGGCGCTCGTGGAGATCATGCAGTACAAGTCGACGTTCCCCTGCTTCCGCGCGCGCGGCGCGGCCGCGGTCTCCGACTTCAAGAAGCGCCACCACGCGCACCTCGGCGAGGCGGACCTGCGGAAGAAGGCGCGCGCGCTCGTCGCCGCGTCGGCGAACCACGTCGGCACCTACGTCTACGACGTCTTCCAGCACAAGACCAACGGCGTGAGCTATACGAAGTAGTCGTCCCTCTTTATTGCGGCGGCGCGAGCGGCGGCGGCGGCGGCGCGCCGTCGCCCCGGCCCGGCCGCGACGGCGGGGCGCGCCGCGCCTCGTCGGCGTCGCCCGCGAGGAAGCCGACGAGGGCGAGGTCCGCGCGGGGCCGGTAGTCGCGGCTCGACGGCTTCTCGACGACGGCGACGCCGCCGTCGCCGGCGACGCCGAGGGCGACGGCGCCCGCGGCGGCGAGCGCGGGGTCGAGGGTCCGCGC